TGCCTCAGCTTTTGTCTTTGCAGAAGAGTAGATAATAACACTACTTTACTGGACTGTATGGGTTTCATGAGTTACCAGTTGTGGGAAACTAGGTCTCAATAAAAATCTGATGAGAGAAGGGGAAGTGGGAGGGGTGGGGGAAAGGAAAGAAGAAAATGGAATTAATATGAGAAAATGACAAAAAATGGAAACAAAGTCTTTGTAGATAGGGACGGATGGAGAGGTTGAAGGAGGGCAGGGGGATGGGGGAAAAGTAAGAACCAAGATGGATTATACAAAGGTGCAAATTTCCAATGATGAATGTCATTATATTGTATACCTTAAATGTACTGATAAAATTAATAAAAAAAAGTTTGATGACTATTCTTAATCCTCTGTCTCTAGGAGGACCTAGAATATCAAGAAACCTTGGTTTTAGAGAACAAAACCAAAGTACAAGTGTTAAATTTTGTTTTGCTGGGGGAAATAAAACTCCTGAATGTAGTGGAAATCAAAGACTCACCTATGTTTTTGGTGGAGAAATAAATAACATTAAGGTTTCTCTTGTAACTTAGCTTTAGCACACTGTAGCTTTAAAACTGTAATCTGTCAGATGACACAGCATTGAAAAAATATCGGTGATCATATTTGTAAAGTTTTAAAAATCCTACTTTATATAATATGACTAAACAAATCTTTGTCACTGTCGTCTTTAAACTGTTTTAATAACTTTTAATCCTATTGAGGAGTAGGTCCATATCCTGGTCTAAATTGACTATAACTAGTCTTTAACAATCTGGCATATACCTGCCTCTCATCTTTTCCTCTACTGCACTGTGTGCTCCTTTTACTAGAGTGAGACTTTTCTATTTTTAGTTAGTTTTATTGGTACATTTAAGGTATACAATATAATGACATTCGTTGTTGGGAATTTGTACCTTTACATCATCAATCTTGGTTCATATGTTCCCCATCCCCCTGCCCTCTTTTGCTTCACAGTAGTGACGCCCCAAAACACACAGACATATAAATGCATTGTGTATCCACACTCATTTACGGAAAGGACTTTTTCACTGACTGATGGTTACTTTTTATTGCCTGTCGAAAGTCAACTCACAGGTCACTTTTTCAGCCTTTATATGTGCCACTACTACTTTCTGTGTGTACCACAAGATAGTACTAATGTCCTTGTAAGGAAGCAATCTTTTTATGCATTATTTTTCTCCTTGGACTTTGTTAATTCTTTATCCTTATTTCAAGATACCTGTTGCACCTCTTGGTACATGTAAAGTGAGAATACCTCCCTCCTGAAACCCGGAAAAGACCACATTTCTTTGAATTCCTCATTAAGAAAAAATGGCACACTGAGTTTTTGAACCCCAAACCTTTGAAAATTCTAATATACTTGATTAAAATTTAAAGCATGAATATTCCAGTACTTCTGTGGAATGCAGTGTTAATTAGAAGGATCTCCTATTGAGGTGATAATTCTCTGCATTTTTCACTATGTGCTTGACAGATTGAGTAACTGCTGGACAGTCGGACTAGATGTGTTGTTGCCCTTACTGACAAAAGCCAGAATATCTGTAGACACAGGCATCCTAATTCTTATATACCACAAGCAAAATGTCCTTTGCAATTGACCTAGAGGTTTCCTTTGGCTGACTGCATAATCTATCCACAAATCATTAGCCTAGACTAACAAGCAGTAAATAATATACTCGAGAGGATAACTAGTGAAATAATTTTATCAATATAGTAAATTTCCTGTGTATAAATAAATTTTATTGATCTCAGGCAGATTGTTTGTTTCTCAAGACCTTTGACAGATCATTTGCTGCACAAATTATAAATGGAGATTTTAACATTTTTTTTTCTCTGAGTATTTGTATGGGGCCCAAATTTCAGAAATTGATACTGATCTAAAATTGACTTTGAGTGGATAGATTTTACTTAATAGGTAACCGAAGGGACACTAAGCTGCTATTTCTACTAAATAGTGGTAGCTAGGGCTTTGAAGGGGAGGAGAGTTAAAAATCAAATTTTAAGTCACTGTGTTTGTTCAAATTGGTGTAGTCCTTACCTTTAATTTTCATAAATGGAAAATTGTGAGAACTTGTTTTGGAAACTTGGAAAGAACATTTAGCTTAGCCGGCTACCACTACCATGTAGACTTTGGCAGAAGGTCACAAGTGTGACAGAGGCTGTTTCTCTGAAATGAATAAAGAAACATTAGAACATTTGGGTCTTATTATTTCCACTTAAGAACTCCCCAAATACAGAATTTGTCGCACCCTCACTGAGGCTGATAACTCACTTAAAATTCACACAAACTGATTAAAAAATGCAAGGGCCTCAAGCACTGCATTCCAACTGTGCGTATTCTGATTATCCTGAATGCATGCAGTGTGTGTCCAAAGAATGTGTCAGCTTACGGAGAAGCGGGGCGGGGTGTGGGGGGAAGTTTCTCAGGCTTTGCTTTAGAATTCTCAAAGTGAACATTTAGAGAGCCAAAATACACAATGGAAAATACGCACAATCTCGCTGTTTCCAATTAGGAGTGGGCTCCTGTTTCTTTCGACTTCAGCAGGTGGCTATTCATCATTAAGATGAAAAATGTTTATTAATGTGAATATGATATTTTGGAATCTTTACAACTGGGAATCAAAGATTAAAAACCTTTTTCCTCTTCTATCAACAACTTATAATTATCTCATCCTGATGTTTCTGTCCTCTGACCTGTTACTTAAGAGTTTTACAAAAGTGGACTTGACCTTCCTCCCTTTTGTGTCAATGGCTGGGTTAAATAACAAGGACAGTGTCCCATTAAAGAGTATTTTGTATTTGATCCAGTTCACCGGGTATTACAAAGGAGGTGGTAATGTGGTACTTAGTGATTTGCTGTTTAGAACAGTCTATCTGATGAAGTTAGAACCCATGGTATCTCAAAATCGTGAATCTTGTTTATGTTTAGTCATCAAATATGTACTTTAATATGTCTGCATTTGAATGGTTTCTTTTTTGCATTATTTTGTGAACACATAGACTTTGTAAATGACAAACATTAAAAATAACAGCTTGTGAATTCACTTGTACTTACTTAGCATGTATCAAAATGGGATCTTTTGTGATGTTCTTTGTTTACAGACTGGCAAGTAATCATTGAAATGCAAACCACATACACATAATGGAAAATTGTGGAATTTTCTAATGATGTTGTCATTTACAGTATCAAAGTCGAAAGCCAAGGAAGAATGTAATAATTAGTGACAGTCTATGGGTGCCGAATGCTAGGTTTAGTTTAGTCACATAATGTATTTAGATCTTTGCATCAGGATTGAGCAAAGTTCAGTAACTTGTCTAGGGTCATTTGGCCTATAAATATTGGAATTTAGTCTCATTTGATTAAACATGTTATTTATATAACTGATGGCACTATTTGCAACCTTGAATAAATTAATCTTTTAGTTTACTTTAGGCTTAACTTTAACAGTTCCTTAGGGATTTTTAAAAAAATAATATCTTCATTCTTCACAGGAATGCCTTGCTGTTTTTTAGTCACATGTCCCTTTAAAAATCTCACTGGCCAGAACTAAGAACTGCAAACGTGTTTTCTTAGTAGTAAGAATCAATAGAGAATGTGCATTTTTCATCTTTATTATGAGTAGGATATTCCCCAAACAGAATAGTTTACAGATATGCATGAACAAAACCCAGGATTCTGTATTAGAGCAACATTTCAAAAAATGTTGATGAAAATCTAGATATTATGTACCAAAGCAAAGGGCAGAACATTAACTGCCTGCAAACAGTGATTACTTTCTTCCTTTGGAAGCTAAGGCTCTCTCAACCTGAAATTTTATTTATAAACAGTACTGTTTCTCTTACAGGAGGTTCATCATGAGGTCATCTTTTTGACTGTCCAGATTGAAGCCTTAAAATAATTATCATTCTGTTATCATACTAGGCAAATGGTAAAGCCATTTTGGATCTGAGTTTATTTGCTTAGTTAGAAAGACATAAAGTAAATATTGATTCTAGAGAAATTGATACAAAGTAGAAAACAGAAGATTGTGTATGGACATAGGGTGAAATGCAGATCATTTCTGGAAGAAAGAAACCTCTGAATGGATTTTGTATGAGCTGTACCTGTGTCATTTGTTTTGGAACACCTAAACTTGATCTGTGACTGGTTATTTTCTATAGCTCATGTGTAATGAATACTTGTAGTCAGATGACTGGGTATTATTTATTCAAATGATTGTAGAAGAAAAACACATTGCTTTCTACAGTGACCTGGGGGGTCAAAAACATTGAAGATGTAGGCAGTACATTAATCATAAATTTAAGAAGAAAATGTTTAAATGTAGAACACATTGGACCATGGGATTAGTTGTAAATCCCAGTTGTTATGCTGAGTTACTGATTACAGGTATCACAGTCTCTGTGAGAGGATAGATGATTGCAACAGACTGGTGGTCGCTGTGGGCGATAAAGGCGAAGTGTTTAAAAGGTTACTCTGACTGCGAAGTCTGCCTGCTTGAGGAGGCTGTGTGTGGGTGTGTGCGCAGGCACACGTGCTCTCAGCTGTTCATCTGCAGGCATTCCATGTGAAGGATGCTATTGTTTAATCCAGAATAGCCTAGCATCGCTGTGTTGCAATTGGAAAGTTTGCATTATTTTAACAATGGTTTATTATAATATTTTGCCCATCAATTTTCAAAATAAGGGTGAATGTATTGAAGAATTAGTTTGTGAACCCTTTTTCCTTTGTATTGATTTCTAAGCCCTAAATGTCTCTATGAAGGTTCTAGTGTATCCTTTCTTATGTGTCTTTTAAAATAAAGTCTTTGTTTACTTCTGTAGTTCTATAGTGTGTAAAGAGAGAGTGAATAGAATGAGAATTGAACCTGAACTCTCTATCCAAACCTAAAAGTTATTATATCATTTTAGGAGGATTTATCCAAGCATCTCATGCCTGGTGGCCACAATGAATATATGAGCAGCTGATCTGTGGCTACTTGGTGCCTAACCCATGTCCAAGGTACTGTGTGTTATAATTCTGCTTCTTCTCCTTCTCCTTCCTCTTCTAGCTTTTTCTTGTGATCATCTTTAAATATCTATTCTTAGCTCTCTACTCAGTTTGTAAATCTTCCCTAGAGAAGACAGAGCATGATCTTGTATTTTATCATCAACATCGATGTCCTAACATATTTATATTTACTTTTAACTCCTGCACAGAAGTAAATTATGTATTGAATATCTTTAAACATGCTATGTAGGAGTTTTAAAGTCCATATGTTCAAGATTGACTTCGTCTTTTCCTTTTTTATCAATCATTGCTATGATTCCCAAAGTTTGAGCTAAACAGCTGCATCCTTTTAAACTCCCTCCTCTACCAAATCACATCAAACATGGTAAGTTGGGTTGCTAAGCCCTACTCATGTTACCTTTCTGCCTTGTCGATGTTGTCTCAGTTCAAGCTCTGGTCTCAACATTTGAAGATAGTTGCCATATATGTGAACTGCTATACCTAATTCCTGTCTTTTATTGATGATTTGTGCTCTGCATTTCAACCAGAAATTTAATTTTATCACTTAAAATTTCCTGTTGAAAATATTCTACCCTTCCTTGCATAGGACTATCTTGTGATTTTTTTTCTTAACTTGTGGTTTCTTAGCATGATATCAGAAGCCATGTAGAATCTGCCCCTATTTTGTTTTTATGTCCTCTCATTATTCAAACCCTCAGGAGAGGCTGTGCTCCCAGTAGTACTCATTCTCTTACTATTCAGGGAAAACATGTAAGGCTTGCATGGATCAAGCCATTTTTGTACGTTATTGATTGCTTTCATCTGGAACCCTTCTCACTTCTGTTCTTGTCAGCTGAGGTGTGCTTACTCATCTTCAACGTTCCTGTCCCTGGCACAGAGTAAATTGCTATTATATAATCAAGTAACATAGGTCTCACTTTCTCACTGAAGCCTTCTTAGAGCACTTGGTGCACACCTTCATGACAACAGCATTTCATGGATTCTACTGTAATTACAGAATTGTATGCCCTTCTTTCCTTAGGCTGTGAGCTTTTTAAGGGCAAAGACAAAGCTTATGCATTTTTTTCTCTTTCTAGCCTGTAGTCTAGTGCCTGTGTGTAGTAAGTGCATTAAATATGCACTGAGTCAGGCTACTAGAAATGTGGTCAGAAGGCCTTGCCCCTAGATTGTCTTTATTACCTATTCTGATATAGGGGGGCTTGTGTTCTAGTACTCATTGTGTTCAGGATACATGTGCCTCACCTTCTCATGGTAGAGCCTGAGGAACTAGAGTATATCTAATAAAGACCAGCATTCCATATCAACCAAGGTCCTATGAAAGTTCACTATGATAGTCTGCGCTGCCACAGACTGTGAGTGCAAAAGTCAGGAATTCTGGGCTTCTGTGACTTGCAAAGATTGAGTCTGGTCTACAGCTTTCCTACTGCAGGTGTAGATCGGTAAATTAAAAAAAAAAAGTTACATTTAGCTTTTAATAGGAAATACTTTTAAGTTTACTGGGAATTTACCAACAATAAAAAACAATACAGGGGCTGTTCCTCAGCTTTTACCCAAATTCATCTGAGCATTATACCTCATTCACTTTATCATTGAGTGCTGTGTCCCTCATTCTCATGCTTTTCTTCTTGAGACATCTTAGGATGTTACATACCACGGCCTTCACATGTACTTCAGTGTGTATTTGCCAAGGAGCAGGTGTATGTACAATCAGAGTGCAATTATCAGTTTCAATGAATTAATCATTTACATTTCAGCTTCACTAATTGAGCCAGTCCTTTCTTTTAGGCCCTGTTTCCCCTTCCTAACTTATCCAGCCTAGGATAAGTTACTGCCTTGGTAATTATGTCCCCTTACTATCTTTTAATGGAGATACTCCCGCAATCCTTCTTTGTACTTCATGACATTGACTTTTTGAAGAATAAAGTATGCCGTTTTTCAATAGAACATTTTTTATTTTGGGGTTTGATGGGTTTCTACAGCTGAATCATTTCTTTTGCTTTAACAAATTAATGGATTTTATGTACTAATAAGCTTAACCACAACTACTATAAGTGTTATGGTTTATATGTAGGTATCTGTCAAGAGCTTCATGGGCTTATGGGTGGGGCTTTTGGAGGGTGATTGGATTTTGGGGGTTTATAGCTGACAATGTTAGGAGGTGAGGTCTGGTTGGAAAGGTGAGTTACTGGGGTGTGGCCAGCAAGGATAAGTCTCCCATGGGGATCTGCCCTTTGTTCTCTGCTTCTTGGTACCATGAGGTGAGCAACTTTTCCTCTGCCTCTGCCATCCTCCTCGCCATGCTGTTTCTTCTGGACTGCCATGGATTGAAACATGAGCCAGAATAAACCTCTCCTCCTTTAAGTGTTGTGTGTTAGGTATTGTGTCTCAGTGAGGAGGAAGGTAACTAAGACAATACTTAAGAACTGCATTAAAATTATTACTTCGCTTTCTTTGAATAGATTGATCTTATTTGTTAAACTTCACAAAAAAATAAAACAGAGGCATACCAAAGAAATAGATTGAGTCGAATAACTCTAGGACTTCAAGAAGAAGTGAAAGACTTGTTATTAATTTCCACTGATGCTAAAACTGGACCAAATAGTTATACTAGATAATAGATGACAATTTTTTTCTCAAATGAAACTTTTTATCAGTATTTAGGTGTTAATTGCCAACAAGACTAAATTCTCCTTAAGATGTACATTTGACCAATGGATTGATACTAAATCTTTGAGTAAAGGTTTTTGTTGTTATTTTGAGAAAAGTGTGCTGTTTTGACTACAGGTACTTATAAATTAATTCCTTGAAGAATAAAACCCTGAAGGTATTAAAACAATACATGAATATTTAATAGCAAATATTTAGACTGGTTAAACAAGAAAGTAAATTAGCATGGAATTAAATAAGCGGCTATGGATATTTATCTTCACTATTGGAGAGAATTGTGTGGTATGGTGTTTCTGTTTGTTGTTGTTTGTCATCTGTTCTGCCATCTCAGCTAAACTCATGAATTGAGAAGCAGCCTGGGCTTATTTCCACAACATTCAGACCTTACTGTGCATTTACACTTGCTTACAATATGCTTCTCTTTTCTTTCCAAGCGTGGTCATCCTTCATTTTCACACCATAGGGTGCTCAATGTTGCCACCAAACACAGTGCCTTCAGATTGTCATAGTCAGTGAGGTACAAGGGATCCCGTCAAATGCCATTTTGTATGACTTTAATTTGTTTTTCTCTCTTCGTTGTTTATGATAACCTACTAGAAACTTGAAAATAGCATTTTCTTTCCTGCTGTTTTTGTCATTTGGGTTTGGAAGACAGACTGTTTTTTTTCAATGAAACGATAGTTGCCTTTAACTGAGAAGGAAGAAACAAACAGAGCTGTACACTTTCCGTTTCCTCTGTAGTCGTGATGTATTTTTCCTCTTTCACTGTTAGTGTTTCAGGTAGAATTTATGGAAGAATTGTGGAAGGAAGGAGTAGGTGGCAGAGAGGCAGGACAAGGTAAATGTTGTGAGCACAGACTCTGGAGTTGCACTGCTTGGGTTCAAACACTGGCTTATGGAAGAATTGTGGAAGGAAGGAGTAGGTGGCAGAGAGGCAGGACAAGGTAAATGTTGTGAGCACAGACTCTGGAGTTGCACTGCTTGGGTTCAAACACTGGCCCCGAAGTTTACCAGCACAGTGATCTTAGACAAGTTAGTCTGTTTTTCTGTTGTCTTAGGGGAACTGCATAGCAGCACTACTTATAAAGTTACAGTGGGGCCTTATTGGGAATAATTAAAGACAACACCTATGATACAATAAATGGTGTGTTTTGTGTGTAAAAATAACTGTCCTATCCCTCTTCATCTTACTGACCTCAGCCTTTTCCTCAGAGGATAACTTGGTGGAAACCAAAATTCCTGGCTCTTTAGAATCCTCTTCAGAGAGCTAGAATATTCTTTATTGAAGAAATATGGATCTTTCTTGAAATAATATCTTCAAAAGTTAAAGTATATCAGTTTGCCACACATTCTTTGGCTTTGTTGAGGGAAGGCATTGCTAAAAGGCACAATTTATTTATGTGTTACCAGACCTCTAGAAGCCTCCTCTCTCTTTCCTGTGTTGCAGCACATTTATTTTAGGTTACACCGTTACAGATCTCAGGTATGTAACCTTGAAAGAAAGCATATATTCAAAGGTGGCTCTGGGACGCACATCCTTGCCCTTAAAAAATGACTCAGCTTGCGTAAGGAGTACAGTATATAAATATATCTATAAACTAACTTGAAATCTTTCAGGCCTTCATATGTCTTTTTAAAGTCTAAACGTGGTGAAATGAATCATTTTGCAACCTAGTAGGTCACTCCTAGTTTATTTTATACTGAAGACCGCAGCAGAGAAAACTGATCTCTTGGACTTCTGGGAATGTGGGAGCATTTCAGTGTGTGGAGACCATGTTTAGTAATCATACGGTTACACAGAATGGATTATTTATGTGACTCAGGACATCACACCCCTTTACAGTCCACTGAAATACAAAACTGCCAGCAAAGCCTAAGAAGCCCTGCAACAACAGCTTCACGGAGGACAAAGCAGAGTAGGTGTAAACTTCTGATGATCATCAGTGGTTTGCCTGAACATCTACTTCAATAGGAAATAAAAAAGATGGAAGATCATTAGAAGGAGTTCTTGTGTTGGACTCTGTGATGAGTAAAAAGTAAATAATTTCCAGATTATTTCAGTGTGTTCCGGGGTAAGAGATTTTTCTCTCCAAAATGTTTTATAAGTTATGTAACAATAGTTTTAAGTATTGACAACATATATTTTTAAAAACAATGCGGATCTACTCCTGACCTCACTGTTTCTGTCCTTCCTGAGTGGTGGCCCATGCTATTAGTCAGATCTAGTAGTTCAGGGCAGGTAATTTTCTCTTTGTATAGGTTCCTATAAACAACTGATTGAAGCTTCTGAGAGGAGTTTTGATCGTCTGTGTTCTGTTTATTAA